TTTTGTTATTTGCTTATGTCATTAAATTTTTGTATATTTCTGTCTAGTTTTTAAGTTTTAGTTAACAATAACAAAACTGATTTTAAATGCATATATGTGCTATTAAATGCTACAATATAATTTAGGATCACTGATGAGTAAATACACATGTAGATGTTCGCTTCAAAGCTGACAGAGATATACTAAAAGCCTTAAATCCCCAATTTTGATATCATGGTGTGTTTAAAATGCAAAAAAATACTGAGATGTCTGTACATGCTAGTTGGAAACCTGTTTTAAATTTTAAAAATGGTTCATTATCAGAACTTATTTACCTCCCCACTGTGTTTTTGGCAGTTCAAATGTTCATAAAACTGACAGAACTAAGCAATTTAAATACAAACCCTGCAATTACTCTTTGCAACTGAAAGCGAGTGTTCGTTTGCAATGTTCTCTTGAACATCTTGCTAAAAGATAGTCTTCTTTCTTGGTTAAGAACACTTGTAATTGTTTTCATTGTTGTATGTTCGTTGCTTTGCGCAGTAAAGTGTAGCATTTCCTTCGCTAAGCCTTGAAATAGGGAACAAAATCAGCATGGATCAGAACAATCGTTTTGTGTACCTGTCAAAGAGGAACATCAAGATTGCAGAGTTCATATTAGCATATTTTAGCTGGAGAGGAAGTGACAGGGATATGAAAATTCTAAATTTTTGAAGAATACATCCCAAAACAAACGATAGAAGCAGAGAAAGAAGTGTACTGGACTTGACACTGGTGAGCTATTATCGGTACCATCAGGGGGGAAAAAAAGAGAAAACTAAGCCAACAAGAGTGGAGACAACAGATAACATGATGAAAGAAACGAAAAACGAAGTTCAGGGCTCAACTATAAGGATTAGTTAGTTGTTGTTTTTTTCTGCAGGTCTAGTCAGTTTTTTTTTATTTAACCTGCCATTTGTTATTGGTTCCACTACAAAAGTACATACATTTTTGTCTTTATGAATGTGGAGATTTGTTTGTTTGTTTTCAATGTAATTTTTATTTATATAGTTGGTGTTTTTTCAATGTATGCTTCAGACACGGGTCACGACGAGGCGTTCCCCATAGCGACCCCTAGAGGACGCAGTGTCTCGTTCCCTACTCAGGGAACCATGGTTACATAAGTAACCTGAGACGTTCTCCCTCCCCATCCTCCTCAGACTCGATGCTTACAAAGGGTTGCCAGATTGAGGACGTGCAACAGAAAGGAGCACAATTGACCCTTCGTAAAGACCCGCCCCCCTTCGTTACTGTTGCTTTGTCTGACAAGCCACGCCATTCTCACGCCACACATCAGGTTCTCATGCAGTGAAAAATACATTGTGGAGGAAAAAGAGGAAACTGACAGACAAGACAGAGCAGGTTACTTTTGGGATGAAACACGTTTTTCAAATTTAGTCTTTTTTTAAAAGAAATTCACACAATAAATTCCCTTTTGTGGCTCTTTAACGTGTAATGACAGATCACTCTAGCATCTCAGGACTAGCGGCACATGAACTGATCGTCTTTTCCTCTTTACTAGTTATTTCACGAAATAAACATTAACGAACATCAGAGGGTATCTTACTTCAACCACGGAAAGATGTCAGTACACACCAAATTATAAATTCAAGTCCACTGAGGTTAATCTACTGTCCTGTCTGGATTGTTTGTCTTACAGAAATGGCAGATTTGGCATTATGATTGGTCAGATCACCTGTCAATCATACTCCATGCGAAGAGTCAATTGACAATTGAAGGTGACGAGCCATATACAGTTAATTTTCTGCATTTTAATATTCCTCTGGTCATAGAGCTTTTTAAGTTGGGTAGAATCTGTGATCTCTGAGCCAGTTGGTTTGCTCACTTCCATGGCTGCAGTATGCTTTGTTTGCTGCCAATTGGCAACCCAGGGTTTCAAAATACTATTGGGTAAATTGGCAGTGGGTAGAATCACATAGACCAAAAAACAGACATTCTGACACTGAACGCACATTTCAATGTAGAATAACTGGCCGTAGAATTGTTTTTCAGAGAAACAAGTATGTGAACTTAGCATGTTTCATAAATATCTTCAAACATATTATGGTAGTTCTATCCTGTAATAGTAAAAAAAAAACAATTAACAGACATTATTAAAAATAAATTTAACAAGCTATATAAGTATATAAGTTATATAAAAATTTAAATATATAAAACTCTAACATTCTTGTGCCATCAAGCCATCCTTATTGTTGAGTCCTATAGCATCAGTTTCTAAGAACTGTATGCAGAAGATCAGAGTGCAGAAGAATGCAGTCACCCTGCCAAAAACTGTGTCTGAGTTTATGCGACCCAGGCCTAGCTGATGTGAGCTTATTAAGATTAAATAAAGGCCGAATGTACTTTAGGTATACACCCGGCCGAGACAGCGCCCGCATAAGTTCTGACAGCACAAGAAAAATGAGCTGACTCCAGAGGAGGGAGACTAATTTTTCTCCAGCTAATGTTGGAGATGACGTTGAGGCCTGGGAGGCCTGTTTTTTTGAATGATCTTTTGTGTAAAATAACACTATTTGCAACAAGAGGAAAGGCTAAAACAGTATTTAAAGTCAAGAAAAATTAATTTATACAGCGCTTTTCACAATATACATTGTTTCAAAGCAGCTTTACAAAACTCATGATATTGAAATGAAATGTTTATAATTTCTTGGGCAACAGTTTATATTTTGCAGCAGTACAAGCAATCAAGCAGTTGAGATTTGTAATACAAACTGTCCTATGCATGTATATACTTATGTTCATAATTATATATCCTACTTAATTTAAAGAGCTGAATAAAAATAAAAAAATCTCTCAAATGTATTTATGCCACCCCTTTAATAAATCAACCACGGAGCGACTGTTTTGCGCTCCAAGATGAAAAAGAAACTTGGCTCCAAATAAGTGCGCAAAAATAACCATTTCTAGGCCACATGTAAGCAGTCAGGCCACTGCATTTAATTTGTCTCGATAAGCATGACAATTCCAATGTAGAATGAGCAACTTCTGTAATGAAACTAATGCCAATAGCATTAATTGTGGTGACATTTGGAGCTGTTTACTTGATTCTGAATCAATTCTTTTTTTTTTTACATCCAGGGAAGATGCGCCCGCCGATGCCCGAAGCCTCAGCCAAGCACGGAAATACTGTGTTTTTTCATAAATAGCAAATTCTCCACTATGGATAAACAGAGCGGGAGCTAAGAGTAAGCCCTGGATTAATCCTCTCTGCCAAACAGCATGGACTTCTCAGCTGCGATGCGACAGGCCGCGCTTGTCGATTCTTGGAGAGGAAGCGCGTGAATACAGAAAAGAAAAGAAAAAAACGCTAGGAAATAATCAGCCAGAGTCATTCTGTCCAAGATGTGGGGAGAGTATCAGTCACATGGCTGCTTCTTTAAAGTGGAAAAAAAAAATCATGTGAGATGACAGCCTGTGCGGGCGCTTTCCACTCGCGGATGCCTCGAAGGAGCTTTCGGCCTGCCTACACAATGAAAAGAGACACATACCTGTGGGCAGAGCTTTATCGGTGCTACCTAACCAGGCATGTGTCAGTTAAATCCGCTTTGAAATATGCGCTCACAAGATTAGACATCTCACCTGAGATGGAAGGACGTGCGTAAAGACTGACTGTTTTAATGTGATTTCGGCGCTCAGGCGGGCAGAGACACCCAACGGTGGTCTGTTGCAATTGGCGAGAACCCATAAACGTATCATCTGGTTCTGAATGGTCTTATTATATTTCCACTTCCATTCACTGTAATCGTTTTAAGATGATAATGTTACCCGGTATGCAAATGTCAAGGCGGGCATCACTGTTACTATTGCTCATACTTTCATTCAATTTAAACAAACTAGGAACCTCGAGTATTAAATCTGGCATGTATGATTTTTCGCCTGGTGGATGATAATATAGGTGAAAAATTGCATTTCTTGTTGGAAAAAAAACGTTTTAACTAAGCTTAAGATGGGCTGTTTGTGTTCTAGCAGTCAAGTTTGCTGGATTTAAAGGGGTTTTGGACACTTTTCAGCTGGTCAGGCTGGTTTGGTTTGCTGGTTTAAAATAGGTTTTGTCAGAAGTGATAGTTTTAGAGGGGTTTTGGGCACTTGTCAGCTGCTCCAACTGGTCTAGTTTGCTGGTGAGACTTTGACAGCTATGGTACTTTTAGATGGGTCTTGTTTGGTAATTTTAGAGGGCTTTTGGGTACTTGTCTTCATTGATGGTTTAAAAGGGGCACTTTTCAGGGAAAATGGTTTTCAAGGGTTTTTGAGAATTTGTCAGCTGCTTGGGCTGTTTTTTTTTTTTTATTTTTTTTTTTTAGATTTTTGGACATTTGTCAGGTATTGTAATTTTAGATGGGTTTGGGGCATTTTTGAGCAATGATGGTTTTCGAGGGGTGGGTCTTTTGTCAGTCAGGCTGGTCTAGTTTGCTGGTGTTAGAAGGGTTTGGGGAATTTGTCAGCAATGATGGTTTTTGAGAATTTGTCAGCTGCTCAGGCTGATCTAGTTTGCTGTTTATTTATTTATTTATTTTTAAGATTTTTGGACATTTGTCAGCTATTGGATGGGTTTGGGGCATTTTTGAGCAATGATTGTTTTCGAGGGGTTGGTCTTATGTCAGCTGGTCTAGTTTGATGGTGTGTAAGATGAGTTTGGGGCATTCGTTAGCAATGATGGTTTTTGAGGTTTTTTAAGAATTTGTCAGCTGCTCTGGATGGTCTAGTTTTTTTTTTTTTTTTGGACATTGGATATTTTTGGACATTTGTCAACTATTGTAATTTTAGATGGGTTTGGGGCATTTTGTCAGCTGATCGTGCTGGTCTAGTTTGGTAACTTTAGAGGGGTTTTGGGGCACTTGCAGTGATGGTTTAAGAGGGGCATTTTCAGCTGCTCAGGCTGATGCTGATTTTTTCAGGTTTTGGTCATTTGTCATCTCTGACAGGTTTAGAGGGGTTGTGGTCATTTGTCAGATACTCAGGCTGGTCTACTTTGCTGGTTTCATTTCTGGGAACTTGTCAGCAAAGAGTGTTTTTGAGAATTTTTCAGCTGATTGAAATGGTATAGTTGCTAGTTTTAAAGTGGTTTTAGCACTTGTCGACTAATCAGGCTGGTCTGGTTTGCTCATTTCTAGAGACTTACTGGCACTTGGTCTGGTCTGTTGTGCTGGTCTGTCTTGTTGATTTCATTGTGTTTTTGAGTACTTTTCAGCTGGGAGATTTTTTCAGCAGGGTCTCAAGCCATATTTAGAGACCATAATTTAAGTAACCACCTAGCAACCATCCAGAACACCAGCACTGTGGTGGTGAGTTTTGTACTTCTCATTTTCGTCAGAAAATATAATATTAGACATTGACTATAAACCCTTAACTGAACACATCACGGGCACGACTAAAGGTAACAATCAGATTTAAAAGTAAATCAATGCAGGGTTAATCATTTCTTCTTATTCTTCTTCTTCCCACAAGCACTGGTGAAAGGAGAAGCAGGGAGGAAAAGAAATGGAGAACAATGGCAGGTTAGATAAATATAAATGTAGGAAGGCTGGGTAAAACTCAATGGAGAGGAAGACCCACTTATGTTATTTACACCAAAATGACATTCCCATCGCTGGAACCTCACAGGTATGATTGCATATATTATATTTTATTAGTTTTTCCATCATACTATTGGATTATAGTTTAGCTCAGGGCTAAATGTGGCATAATTTATGTTGGTTATGTTGAATTATAATATTCCAAAGCCTTGTACAACATTAACACGTCTTTTTTTTTTTTTTTACTTACTTCAAAAAAGGAAAGTAGCAAGCACCAAAAACAAGCTCTGCAGTAATTTCTTTAAGCAAACATCACAAAATAAAACAAAGACAATAGATATTTTTATTACATTGTCTTTGCTGGTCATCCACAACAATAAAAAGAGAGTCTAGTTCAATTAGCAAATAAATGACTCTTAAGAACGGGTTCTTTTTTAATGAATCATTTAAAAATAGTCATTAATCAGAGTCAAGTCATGTTATTTACTGTAATCGAGTTTTTTTTTAATGCAAATTATTGTTTAAAAAGAATTTTAAAAATCATTCATGGAAACATTAAGGAACCGGAATGCTCAAACAAATGGAAAAGAACTGCTCAATTCCTTACGATCTGCATCTGTAACACTCACAAACATAAATATGCCCACATTTTCTCATTTTCCTGCCCTCTCATGTTGTCCTTTTTTTCAGGAGCTCCACGCCACCACTTACACTTACAGCCTGATTCTTTATTCAAGGACGGGCCTTTGAAGTTACCAAGGAAACCCAGAGCTCCTCGGACTGCTCCTCTTCAACATTTCCATATCAAAGCCTCCTCACCTGGCTATCATCTGTCAAACGGCAATTAAAATATCACACAATCAGTCGAAATTAGACAAATTATGGACTCATGCCCATGTGGCATCTGTATAAATTCATGTGATCTACACCTGTTTGACTAAGGTATGTTTTTTGGATATTTAACTAAACTGTGAAATTTTTCAGTACTTCTACAGTGGATGTGTTTGATCTGTATGTGAAGGTGCTTGGTTGTTTATCAGCATTATGTGAAAGTTAAACACTCTCGTTCAATCTTTATCATATTTCTGCTTTCATTTTTCAATGCTTGTGTTGGTCTTGCTCAGAACTGCAAATTCAACAAAATATTTAAATCGCAATATATGCCCATAGGAAAGAAAAATCACAAATGAGATCTCTTTTGTTGTGCATAACTGAAATATTTCTCATCAAAAACTAAATTATTAAAAATAATGAAATAAATATGTTATCTTGTTTTGCAATGAAAAACGATATATTTTTAAAACAAACAAAAAAAGTTTGGAATTGTGTAAAAAGAGAACTTTCAGGGAGTATTGCATTATAGTATTTATTTACATTTAAAGTATATTATTTATTTCTATTTTCCTAGGGCATTGGCAGTAAGTAAATAAATATATACATAACAAAACTCAGTATGTTTATATATTATGCTTAAAACAAGACAAAACGATTCAAGATATATTTTCACAAAACAAGTGATCATCTAATGTGGTTTGCTTCTCAGACACATTTTTCTTATTTAAGGATGTTAAGATATTTTTAAATTGGAAAACAAATTTTTTTCTTGTTTGGATTGTGTTATCCACATTAATTTATCAACAATTGTCTTATTTAGTTCTCCTTGAACTTTAAGGAAACTTAAACTTAATCTGAGACATCATTTGCACATTAATGAATGAAAAATAGGTATTTTCAAAGAGTATTTACATCAATAAAACGTATGCAGTATGAGCAAATAATAAATAAAGTGTAAAATAAAAAGCGGCTCACAACAATAACCTGTGTTTGTCAGACTTCTATCTCTTCAGCGGGATGAAAGTGCCATAATGTTCCCCTCATTAGAATTCATTAGTTATTGTTCTCATTTTGCAATATTCATTCAAACATTTGATTTATTTTGATTAAATTATGATTTCATGGCCTGTCAGATGGGCTCCTTTGAAACTCGGGAGATGAAGAGGGGTTTCGAAGAGGGGCTCGGTAATTACAGCTACTTTGGTGGATGAATAGACTAGAGGCAGGTTTCTAAACTGACGCCGCCATCTGTAAATAAATGCATTCGGCCGTCTGTTTGTACTTTGTGGCGAGAGAGCCATTTCCATTGCGAAAGTTGCAATTTACATGTAAATGATTTGGCAAGTCACAAACTAATTGGTTCACAGAGGTGCAAGGTTTTGTACGGCACGGTAGTTCATAATTGAGAACTGACACCGTCTTTATCAGAAAATAATTTTGTATACTGTTCGCTGGCTCCCAGTACAACCTTCATTATAGACCCCCAGATATGTTTACAGCCAGACCTCCATTTAAAGATGTGTGTGCGGCGAAGTTTGACGTGCCTTATTAATTAAAACGAATACCAGATTAAAAATGCAGCGCCCTTGGCTAGCATATGTTCAACCACAGAGCAAAAACAATACAAATGTCCAAAGAAAACAACTACTTTGAAGATCTGATACAGGCCGGAGATGAATATCAAGGCATCCTGCAAATGTGTGACATCAAAGGTGCAAGGCGTTGCTAGTGAGATATTGTGAATATAAGAGCAAAAATCTGGACTTTGGTGTTCGCAAACGTTGACGTGGTCTGTTAATGAATGTTACTGAAGCGCGCAAACATCTAATCGGGTGTCTTTTTTCTCGTAAATACTCAAAAGCAGCAGGTTGCTAACTCTCAAAGGCGTCACTCTCTTTAGGCTCACGTTTTGACGTGTTTATTCACGATGTGAATTCTTTGCTGATGTGTGAAGTCATTGAAACATGCTGTTTGTTTCTGCTCTATCAGAGAAATATCAAAACACTTCAAATCTTTAACGTTATACCAAAGAACCTCGTAACGCAAACAGACATTTAACAGACTTAAATAGACCAAAAACACACCACAGGGAACTATTTGCATTTCAAAGACCGACACTCAAGTTTGTAAATCATAATCTGATGTTTGGGTTTGAGATGTTTTTCTTTTCATAGTTTGTTTGGTCTCTTTTGTTTCATGTTGACGGCTGTATTAGTTCATTGCAAGTGAGGAAAGTTTAAACATTTGGGGGCAAGCACGCTAACTTAAATTGGTTGTTGGTACTAACCCTTTTCCCAAGGTACCCAGAAAGCTTTGAACATGTTCTTTGAAGAGGTTTTGAACTGTTCTCTGATGGGACTTGAGGTTATTTTATTGTTTTTGTCGCGGAGGTAGTGTTTCTTAGCCATTTCATCCCCTTCAAGTTTGATGAATAGCCTGCATCTCCAATCACACACATAGTCGCCATGTAAACACAGAGCTTGTATATGTAGATCATGGCAGAGGACAAACATCTGGTTACATAATGCAAATTTAGCCCCTAGAGGCAAAGATAGTGGGTTTGTGGGAAGGATGAATTGGTCAACGTTCAGATTATCCATCTTGTGTCCCGGTGGATACCTGCTTTAGCCTTCACGGTCAGCCACACAGGAGATTTATAGATTTCAGATCCTGGGTTTCCGGCAATGAGAGCAAGTCACTAATCGTGACATTTAGACAAATAATGTTTGTGATCACTGACATGGAAATACAGTATAACCATAAATAATGTCATGTAGTTAATTAAATGAAAGACAAACAGTGCACCAACATAAACAGCCACACCAAAGCTCCACCTCAGAAAAAATAAAAAAGTTAATTGTGAATTTATTTTTCACATTTGCAGTTTTGTTTCTCATGGCTGTTGTAGCTTTCTCAATTGTGACTCTTTCTTACAATTGCCACTCTGGTTTCTCAGAGTTGCAACATTGTTTTTCATAATTGTGACTTTGTTTTTCACAATTACAATTTTTTCGCACACTTGTGACTTTCTCACATTTGCAACCTCATATCACATTATTGTTGCATTGTTTCGGCATAATTATAACTGTATCTCATAATTGCGACTGTTTCTCATAGTTGTGAATTTCATACAGGTGAAACTGTTTCTCATTTCTTGTTTCTTGTAATTGTGACTTTTTTCACAATTGCAAATGAGTTTTATAATTGCTACGTTGTTTCTCACAGTTGTGACTTTGTTTCTCATAATTGTGACTGTTTTATTCACAATTAAAAAAATTTTTGCAAACCTGCGACTCTCACAATTGCGGCTTCATACTGCATTATTGTTACATTGTTTCTGATAGTTATGACATTTTGTCCAGTTATGACCAATTTGTTTACCTAAATTGTGACTTTTTTAATATAATGATTGAGACATTATATCTCATAATTGTTGTTTGTCTTAATTTTGATACTTTCTCATAACTGTGACTTTCTCATAATTGCAACTTTTTTTTGCAGATTTTTCTCATAATCATATTTCTCATAAAAGCAGTGTCTTTATGACTTCATATCTTATTTTAATCTCTCTCTCTCTCTCTCTCTTTTTACTCTGAGGCACAAATGGGTTTCCATACATGGCTGTTTCACAAAGAACAAAAAACTAATTTGTTTCAATTATTGCCTGTTTTTGATACTAACAAGTAGATATTAAAGGGGAAAAAGTCAAATCTACAGATCACAAAGTTGAAGGAAAACCTTGAGCGTTTCCATCAGGGCATTTTCAGAATGAAGATGTCACTCAATGTCATTTTACCCACGTCGAGGAAAGCTCTGCAGATTTGAGCAGGACCCTACGGGACCACAGCGTCTTTATCTGGCACGGCTGTGTTCTCGACAGCGCGTGGCCCACTCAATAGTACTGATTGATGTCTCTGCTTCTGGATTTGCCTTCAATTTAGCAGGAGTTGTTTACCTAAATTGTGACTTTTTTAATATAATGATTGAGACATTATATCTCATAATTGTTGTTTGTCTTAATTTTGATACTTTCTCATAACTGTGACTTTCTCATAATTGCAACTTTTTTTTGCAGATTTTTCTCATAATCATATTTCTCATAAAAGCAGTGTCTTTATGACTTCATATCTTATTTTAATCTCTCTCTCTCTCTCTCTCTTTTTACTCTGAGGCACAAATGGGTTTCCATACATGGCTGTTTCACAAAGAACAAAAAACTAATTTGTTTCAATTATTGCCTGTTTTTGATACTAACAAGTAGATATTAAAGGGGAAAAAGTCAAATCTACAGATCACAAAGTTGAAGGAAAACCTTGAGCGTTTCCATCAGGGCATTTTCAGAATGAAGATGTCACTCAATGTCATTTTACCCACGTCGAGGAAAGCTCTGCAGATTTGAGCAGGACCCTACGGGACCACAGCGTCTTTATCTGGCACGGCTGTGTTCTCGACAGCGCGTGGCCCACTCAATAGTACTGATTGATGTCTCTGCTTCTGGATTTGCCTTCAATTTAGCAGGAGGCATGCAAAACGCAGATCCGATTTCTGCTCGGTGGTGTATAGAAACGTCCAATTATGGTGCTGCTGTGACATTGTGAGGGAAGTTTCCAGCTGTGTGGTGTGGTGTGGACCGTAAGATCAGGTGCATAATAAATGTGAAAGTCAGCACTGTTTCATCATTCAGAGAAAAAGAGAGAAACATGGGCAAAATTATATAGGGAATACAATTGTAATGGAAATGTCTTTTTAGGGAAGATATTTAATCCATGCAGTGTTTTTGACAAATGGTACTTTTTTCTCCCCAATGTATGTTTTGCTTTTTTACTTTTTAGTAATCAATGTTGAAGGGCTTTTGGTTACTGGTTAGTGCTATTTAACTGTATATAAGTGCTTCTGGGTCTTTTGTGAAAAAAAGAATTAAACGTCAGTCTGTTTCTCACATTAAGTTATCATATGGCTTCAAAAGACTCTGAATTTAGTCTTAGGAAATATTTCATTGGTTATTTTATAGTGTTT